TTAACTTAGCACACTTGAATGATATTGGGTGCTAAAACAAGTAGAATAAATAAATCCACACCTAAGTAGGAAGTGGGGATGTGTGAGACTTTGAAAAGCCCCTTTGATATAGAAATGTGCATGGGGAAATGGTTCACAGAAAATCACAGTGGCACATAAAATGTCTGTCTCTGTTAAGGCCATTGTCTAATGACTTTGCATTCCCACTCCAACCTCTCTTCTTGTGAGCTAAAACTTCTCATCAGCACAGTAATATGGAAATAATTAAAGTTGCACCCGTTTCTCAGAAGTGTACCCACAAGAATATCATCTTTGTTGTTTTTAATAGTGAATATGTGTAATGTTTGTCCAGTTTCACTGGCATAGAGGGTATTTTGCAAACACGATCTAGTATACTGTACCATTAAGAGCATTTCCAGAAGAAGATGCCTTGTATTCTGTATTGGTCCTGCTAGTCCTGGTATTGATACCCTGTCAATGGAATTTATATATGCATAGCAACCAACCACCCCTCATTTTGAAGGACTATTCTGCTTTTGGAAACCTCTATATAACTACCAAAAATGTTACACTACAATAAATCTTCAGTCTCAATGATTGAGTTTGCTATTCTGAAAAAACAGTATAAAGGAAAAGTAGGGGTAAAAAACAAATGTTGGTTGAAACAATTGGTTTTTCTTCATAAGTCTTCCTGGTCTGCATAAATGGGGGAATGGTAGGGATCTGTCTCTTGCCTACATATATTGTTCTGAAAGTTGTCCCTCTTTACCATCTCAGAAAGGTGAGGCTATGTATAGGTGTAAAGGTTTTTTACCTTTTCTTCCTGCAGGGGGATGTGCCCTTTTGTTCTGACGTACCCAGTGAGCTTCTCACAAAAAGTTATGAGAAATGCCTCTAAATTTCTACTTTTGTCAATACCCAACATAGCACAACACTCTGCTGCGGCCAAATCAGTTAGAACAAAGCCAAAGGAAAATTACTAAACAGCTTTGGTTAAGACCTGTTAATACAGCTTCAGCTAGTTAAATTGCCATGCCTGGAGTTGGGCATTAAATTGGAAAATGTAAGTGCTCTTTTGGGCAAAGTGCACTTGCCAATGATGTCTCTGAGTATTTACAAAGACATTGGTAATCTTAAAATAGGTATATACTGCCTATGTACACACCTGCTTTGGCCCAGGCAATCACAGAGCATTTCACAATTATTCATCTGTAAATTAATAAAAAAAATGACTACCAGAGGTCAAGCTAAAGCATGTCACATACTGCTCAATTTAACTCACATTTTATTGGTCAGTTTAGCAAAGTTAATAAACAGCTTTGCTAAAAAATTGCCAATATGGTGTAAAGGCTGGGGCAAACTACATGGATAGAAAGCACATTGTCATGCAAATCCTCAGGACAAATCCTATGGCTTTGGGAACCGCTGAAGAATTAAATCCAGCACACTAAATGCAGCACTTCTGAGAAACTGAAGAGATATCTAGGGGCAAACCCACAAAAAGAGCAAAGTGTGCAGACTAGGTGTAGTGGGTGTATGAACATTTACAGCTGATCCACACATGTGCGGTGCGGACTGAAGCTCAGGTTTCACAGCTAATTGATACAGTAGTTGTTCAGCAGTTCATGTCAGGTTTACATCAGGTTCAGGACAGGATCAGCTCAGGATTGTATCCTGTTCACACATATGTGGTTTAGAAACGGTTCCCATGGAAGTAAATAGCCTGTAATCCGCACCTGCACCTGAAGGCACTGCTCAGAAATCATACATGGCTCTTTTTAAGAACACACTGAATCCACACCACCAGTGCACTGGACATATGTGAATAGGCACTATAGGAAGCAATGTTTTTTCACATGTCATGAGGATTGAATGCGGTTCAAACTGCATCCAATCTGCATATATGGGAACCAGCATTTAAGAGAAGACAATTAGCAACTCACATGAAGTAAAACAAATTATGCTTAACGTGATTCTCAAAAGCATTTCCAGCAGGGGAGGACACCAAAGAAACTGTCACAGTGGATACATTGGATATGTTCTGGATGGCACCTGCAATAGCTGAGAGAGACAGCAAGGGGGGCGCCAATCTAAGTGCAGCAGGGTATAGAGGTGAATACAGCACACAATAATTGTCAACACACAGTGTGTGGATGTTCTCGAGCATTACAGTCAGTGGTGCATCTGCAGCAGGGAGGAGAAGGCATCCAGGATCCCAAGATGGAGCTGCTGCTGCAATGGGTGTAGTGTAGTAACTGGAGTAACCAGACAGCCTCAGGAAAGGAAATAGGAAGCAGAACATATGGATCTTAGCGATTGCAGGGCCATCCAGACTAGATCCATTGTGTCCACTGTGACAGTTTCTTTAGTGTTCTCTCCAGCTGAGAATCATTTTTAGAACCATGATCAGCATAATTCATTTTAATTCATGTGAGTTTTCCTTTAACAAATGTTTATACAACCGCTATACTTTGTCTGTGCACTTTGCTCTTTTAATCAACAACTTTGTGCAAGGCCTACCTAAACATACCTCCCATTACTACTTTTGCCAATTCCAGTACCATAAGCCAATCAGACCCTATGACATTTTACAGTACTGTTGATCTAAAGCTAGCTTTAATATGCACACCACCTCAAAAGCCCAAAACCCAGCATCTATTAGGCTTCAGTATAAATCTTTAGCTATAATATTTCTGCACAATGCAATCGTAGTACAGACTTTTTTCAGTCGACTATAAAAGTAATTGATAAATGTAGTGCAAAGACATAAATTAGAGCAAGTACAACTTATTTCATAAACTTAATTATGCCTGTTGGAAAATAAAAAGCTTTTTCTACTCTTAAATAATAAACATCAATATTATCTGCTCACTGCCCTGGAGTATTTATTAGAGGTAAAACAATAATCTGCATATATTCAGTATAAAATAGTAGTTTGATTTTGCCTCCTAGTTTAGTTTTTGACTAGTTATAAAGTAAATATCCTAGATTCCATTCATTGGTTTATAATATGAAAGACATTTTAACTTTTCCCCACTCTACCTAAATATAATCTAAAAAAAAAATTAACAGGATTTAACATTGCCCTGCCTTGACTCCCTCTCCCTTTCCTTTTCCCAAAGGCTGTTCCCTGTTTAAATATTTTCTTCAGTTAAGGATGGGGAGTAGAAGGTAGGTATCCAGAGCTAATCTTCTTTGAGTTGATCCTAACAGACTGGTTTTCATGAACACATGATTTGTGTAGCCATGATATATACATTTTGAAGCTCATAGGTTGGAAACCTCTTTGTTAAATGCTTTAAAAGTTTATTAGAAAACATCCATTAACTTTCCTTTCAACTCATATTCTCAGATCAAGTTACAATAGAATTTGAAAGTTAGAGATTATCTTTTTTCAGTTTACACAGTGCTTTACAATATAAGGATAGACAGTACAATTACAATACAATTTAATACAGTAGGAAATAGATGGCCGTGCTCATTAGAACTTACAATCTAAGAGGGAGGGGCATGAAATACAAAAGGTAATGTCTGTGGAGGATGAGCTGATGGAGAAAATAAAAGGATAGGTGTTAGGTGGGGGAAGGGTAAGCTTCTCTGAAGAGAAGGGTTTTTAGGGATCATCTAAAAGTGTACAGAGTAGGAAATAGTCTGACAGATTGAGTTAGGGCGTTCTAGAGGATGGGAGAGGTTCAGGAGAAGTCCTGGAGGCGAACATGGGAGGAGATGGCAAGAGAGCTAGAGCGCAGCAAGTCTAAGGTGGAGTGAAAAGAATGATTAGGTTGGTATTTTGAGACTAGGTGTCAGGAAAGGCCTGCCCATAGTGCAGACGAAGATCTGCGGTGCACAAATATGCACACAAATATGTGCATGCGCAGAGTCATTACTAACCGGGCAGAAGTGCGAGTGATTGGGCATAGGCATGCGTATGCGCACTCGCACATCCAGGAGCGCACCTGTCACTAATGCTGGCGCCAAAGGGGCTATTTAAACTGGCTGCAGTAAATGTCTTATTGCCCTTTGGTCTTATCCCTGCTTGTTTTTCCTTATTCCTGTGATTGACTCCTGATACCGAACCAGCTTGTTCCTTACCTCCGCTTGACCGCTACCTGCCCTGACCTCTGGCTTGCCTTGGATTACCCTTCTGTCTCCGCTTCTGCCTGATCGATCTTCTGCTGCTGACCTGGCCTGTGACCTGACTACTCTTCCTCCTGACGTTTATACCTGATCTGCCCCACCGCTACCGAATCCGGCTCGACTGACCCTGCATCCTCAAAACGCACTCCTCAGTGATCCATCCAGCACGGCTGCATCCAGATCCTGCTCCCTGCCTCCAGCCTGCCCTTCAGCTCACCTGCCTTCCAGCTACTACTGGACTGATCACAGGCACTCATACCCTACCGTGCCCCTGCAGCTGCTGTCCCACAATCAGCGGTCTTTGAGCCCGAGTTGTACAGGAGGCCTGCCTCTTCACATCAGGCTCACTATCCAGGTATGTGACACTAGGTTAGTTGTTGTTAGTATTTTGAAAATAATTTATTGGGAGAGCAGAAGCCAAGACTTTTGTGCAAGGGCCCTGATTTCATTTACTACAAGCTGAAATAGAGAGAAGGACCAAAACTGATGTGTGATCATTTTTGTACAAAATACTGTTTGCAACAAACTCACCTATTTAAAAACCCACTTCGAGCAACTTCTTTCCTGTTTTAACCACTATGAAAACTCTGTATGAAAAATACAGCAGTTGCTGCTCATGTCAGACTTCCTCCGCTGGTGGTCTATGCTGTTTCTTTTTGATAGGCAATTAACACATCTGTAGTGGCACACCAAGACCAAGACCTGATCTGATTCTGTTAGACCGACCTCTCTAAGAGGAAACCTTCTCTATCTTTTCATGTTTCTGCAAGTGTAGGGAATCATACTTTTATAAAAGTAAATTGTGTATTCCATTTACATTATCAACTAAAGCAGGGCTTGAAATTCCGCTCGCCCACTCGCAAAATGCGAGCGGAAATTCCTTTCTGGCAAGCACATTAATGCCCTTCACATTTATTGATGGAGCGGGTGGCTTGCAATCAGGGGCGGACTGACCATTTGGAAACTCGGGCACTGCCCGAGGGCCCGGGGTCAGTAGGGGGCCCCATGAGATGCCCCTGGCATCTTTTTCATAGGCTTTTTTGAGTTTGGCAAGGACACAGGGGCCCCATGATCCCCTATTGCCCGGGGGCCCCATGAGCTGTCAGTCCGCCCCTGCTTGCAATTCGATCCCCAGGCCCTGGTGATCAATTTGCGTTCCAATCCTCGTTTTGAAGCCGACTTCTGGTTTCCGACTTCCGGCTTCTTCTTCGGCACCGCCATTACACTGACAGCGCCACTGAGGTGCAGGAGAAGTCCTCTCTCCTCCATTGAACAAGACAGAAGGAGAGGCCTGCTCTCCACTGCCGTGGGGGACACGAGAAGAGGCCTGCTCTCCATCGCCGTGGGGGATACGTGAAGGAGAGACCCGCCAACGTTGCACATCCCTACACCTGCCAGCTTAAGGTAAATTAAATTTTTTGTGATGCGCTCTGGGGACAAAATTATTTCAAAAACAGTAAAAAAAAAAAACCAACAACAACGTTAAAAAAAAACAACAACGCCATTTTTGTGCTGCTCTCTGGGGCCTAAATATTTAAAAAAGTAAAAAAGAAAACAAAAAAAAAGCACACAATCAGCTACAAATTTAATTTAAAATAAAAAAATATATTTTCAATAAAATTGGTAGCTGACTATGCATAGGAACCCATGTGCTGAAGAAGGGGGTTGGGGGACGGGCCTGGGGTGAGGTTGGAGGTGGACCTGGGCAAGGTTTAGTGGGGCAACTGGTGGAGAGTAAGGTTTTTGTCTGGCTAGTAGGTCTAGACTTGAAATTTTAAGCCCTGAACTAAAGTATACTGCTAAGATGATAATGTCTGGATTTGAAAGGTAAAAAATACCCTTTTTAGGGTTAACCTTCCTACACAACCTATTTTATTAAGTAGTTTATTTGCCCCAAAACAAAATCCACATAAAAACTGTGATGGCATACCTTCAGATATGACACTAACAATTAACTGGAATAATTTGTTTATTTGGATAATCACACACAGCCTTTTATTACTTTCACACCAAACACAATTACACCTTAAATTCTGATTAACAGAATGTGGCTGAATCAGAAAAAGAGCCTATAATCCTGTTGGATGAAATCAGCCATGTCTATGTAGCTCAGATGAAATAGAGTGGAAGAACATTATTAGAATGATGAACACACAAAGCCCTTTGAAATAAATCAGTCCTTAAAAAATGAAAGCAGCAGAAATTAACTTTATAAAAGGTATGAATTATTGCTTCCTGAACGCTGAGCGATTATTGTCAGGGTCATCCAGCAACAAAGAAGTTAACCTAATGTCATGGTGGCAATTCCACCGTTTGCTTTTAAAACATACCCTGTCAAGTAAGATCCCTAAAACCACATTACTGATGATAAGTTACGCTGGAATTACCAGCATGACCTTGAGCATACAATAATTCTCTTACATGCTACTGAATGCTTTGGTTCCACTCTCTTTTTTGTTTATTTTGTTTTCTTTATTTTGTGCTCTCCATTCTCTTCTACCAAAAGAGCACTTGGCCATGCTTAGCATATTAAAATGAGGGTCAGTGCAATTCAATTCATTGTAAATTAAATGTTGTGTATTAGAAAATCAGGAAACACAGATATAATTAATCTCTTCCACTGAACTGGAAACATGGTTGCCAAAAAATATATGCTGAAATGTCAATAGGTATGGGTAGAAAACAGCCATTCCAAAACACACAAGTAGCTGGCTCAGTATCAGCCCCAGAAATGTATCACAGCACATAATAAGCATGCCATTCGTCTTGATTATTTCAATCTTCCTATTTAAAGCTTCATCATGGTGGCAGCTGGTTTAAACAGAACTGCTCATTTAACAAGTCACTGCAGAAGCCAGACTAGTTAAATAAGTGCCCTTCCATATTAAATCTAGCATTTCTCTTGCAGTTTTTCCTGGATCACAGGTTTGGCGGACAATCTGTGAAAATATGCTCGTGAGGTAACGAGCCTGAAAGCTTGAAAATGGAAAAATCTTTTTGCTTTCCAGATAAAATAAGAAGCATATAGGAAAGAGAGTTAAAAAGGAAACCTAGCAAATTTAAATAGCAATGATAAAAATATTCTTCTGTAAAAAGAAATAATGATTTCTGATATTTATATGAAAAACATAATGGAGATCTTTACTGGTTTTACCCTTGAAAGTAAAACCTCTATATTTGCATAACTACCAAGAATGGTCACAGCAAAACTACCGGATTATCCACTAAATTAAAACAAAAACACCCACTTTCCTATAAATAAATCCAGTTAATAAGTGGGAAGGAAAGGATACTTTCAGATGACAGATAATAGTACATTGTTAGATGGCTCACTTACATACCAGAAATACACCAATTAGACATAAATCAGTGCATTAAGTTAACATTTGGAAAGGTAGAGTTTTTTTATTCATATCCAAGGAATCCTTCTATTTAACCACTAAAAATTATTTTGGACAATGTTAACCATCTGGAAGGTCCAGTAAAATTGGCCTCCTAACCCATATATTTACAGAATATATAGATTTATATCTACAACTACTGGTATCTAGTCTTTTATCATTTTTATGTTTAATCTCTTTTTAATGCTTTTTGCAGAGGAAAATCACAGAGCACACATAAGAAGAGACATATATAAACAGATCACACTCAAGGTAATACAAGGGCAAATATCAAAGAGATTGCACTGTATATCAAAACTTCAAGTCAATACAACAAAAACACAAAATATGTGTCCTTATGAACATGTTGTATTTTAATAGACAGAATAATAGATATGAGTCATATTTGAATTAATGCATGTCAGAGAAGCTATATGACTGCATGAAGCCCAAGTCTATCAGGCATAGGATATAACTCTGATCCATAGGGAACCAAAGCCCCCTAACTCACTAACATATGAATTAAATTGCATTAAAGCATAGAGAAATAAAGGACAGAGGGTGGTGACAGATAGGACAGAAGAAAGAGGACACACAGAAAGGGTCAGTAATAAAGCTTGACATCCACTTGACATCTTCCATATGTCAAGTGGGAGTAGCAACATGTAGCAGATGAAAGCCTCCATCCAAGTTGGGTTGTCCTTGTGGTACTTTCATTATAGTCTGGGGATAGCATTCAATCCATCTGTTGAATGGAATTAAGTTCACAAACCCATTCCATCAACTGTGGAGTATTAGAATCCCACAAATACCTAGTAATGACTGTATGGGCCTTGGTCAAAAATATAAAATAGTCCTAATTTGTTTTTAAAATCCAGTTTTCATACACAGTAAGGAAACCTTAGGACTATTAAGTATACCATCTCCTGTAGGTTTGTTATATAATTAGAGAATCTGCTCCCAGAAAGGTATAATGAGTGGGCATGTGACATTGTTGTGACGGAACGCGGCATCCAACCCCTGCCCTTTTCACCACACTTTTTCAACATAGGGTGTATTACTAAAAAGGTCAAAATGGTGCAATTAAAATATTTACAGAAAAGATGTTACAAAAATATAAAAAGAACAATAAAGCAACGGAGAAATAAAAGAAAGGAGTTAGGAAGGCAGAATACTTGCAAAATCCTGGTTTAGCAGAGTCCAGCAAAAATATTGCCTTGACTCTCAAGTCCATTAAGATGTTTCTTGATTGATGTTTAACGAGAGCTCCCCTTCACCAGGCCTGTCAGTCCTTATGTGGAATTGTTACATGTGGAATAGGCGTTTTATGGCACGCTCAGCAGTCCTAGAGCTCTAATGGCCTAACAGGTCATGTGTGACGGCTGGACTGAGTTATTGTTTTATGATAGGGCAGAGGAAAGTTGTTTTCATAGTTCCTGTAAAATAGACATCCTGTCAAGACTAATTAGCAGTTTACAGGTCTGGAGCTGGCCTCTATTTGTGTTTTAATTAAGATAAGAGGCTCTTTTGAAGTTTGTTACAAGTTACAGCTAAAAATTCCATGGTTTGCAAAGAGGGCAAAGAGGGAGGAGGGAAGAACAGGAACACTGCTCATGAAACAAAATGGCTGAGACCTTAACAAGATGGCTGTTGCATACAGCTTCCATGTCTCTATTGTGTCTAATCATTACAATTGTAGTTTAGTACTTTTTGTGGGGGGGGGGGGGAGGTAAATTACATTTTACTTTCAGAAAAGGAGTAATGCCAGCAGTTATTTGGAAAGGGAGGAGTCCATTTTATGAAAAATAGATAGGCATTGGATATCAATAGATAGAATTGATTTCCCAGTCAAAATTCCCTGTGGCAGTCCCCAATTTTCTCTCCCACTTAGCATGAAAGTGTGAGGAAGATTTCCAGTAATCAAAAGGTCATAGACTTTGGAGACCAAGTGTTCAGGTTTATTAGATTGGGTCAGTAGAGATTTAAAAGGCATAAGAAGTCTATTAAGTGTGTTTAACAGAGACAGTGACTTAAAATAAAGGGATATACTGAGAGTATTCCAACCAGGCTATATGGTCATTATGACATGACAGTAATAAATGCTATAATAAGGGCGAAAGGTTTGGGTGATCATATGTTTGTCCTTTCTATGCCAGTTTAACAAATGGGGTAATGCATAGCTGGAGCAAATGCAGGATTCCCAAACAATGCAGGTAGAATGTATAAGGAGTGGTAAGGTACTTTTCTGCAGGTTATAGGCCAGGGATATTCCCATGAGAGAGACTAAAGATAAATTGATAAGGTTGCCCTCCCATTCGACCCAGAGTTTAGAACTCTATTATCCTAATGAGTTAAGCAGTGTGAAGATAAAGAGAGATGTCAGGTAGGACACCCCCCTTCATTTTGTAAAATAAGGGTATGTCTCTATATCCTGGCTTTTTTTATAGCCCCAAACAAACTCTCTTATGAGACGAGTTAAGTGGGAGAGAAAGATTAGCAGTGATGAAATGGGGACAGGTTAAAAAAAATATACAGCATCTTGGGTAG